CTCCATAACATAAAACTATATGTGATAAAGTGGTTACCTTGATATCACAGCAACAGTCACAGTAAAGTGATCCTATCGCAGCAATAGTACATTCATAGAGTGATCACCTCAATACCACAACACCAGATATGCTAAAGTTATCACCTCCATAACATAAAACTATATGTGATAAAGTGGTTACCTTGATATCACAGCAATAGTCACAGTAAAGTGATCCTATCGCAGCAATAGTACATTCATAGAGTGATCACCTCAATACACAACACCAGATATGCTAAAGTGATACCTTGGTATCACAGCAACACATATGCTGAAATGATCACCTAGCTATCACGGCATCAGACATGGTAGATTGATCAACTAGTAATCATCATTGAACATATTTCATTAGTGCGTAAATGACAGTAAAACAATTAACGAAAACCGATTTTGTAAAAGCAAAAATTTTTTTTTAAATAAAAATGATATGTAATTCAGTTTTTAAGTCATTTTTTTATTTCCCTTTTGTAACACTTTAAAAGAGCGATATGTGTTTTTTAGTCCTAAGATAACTTAATGTTTCAATGAACTGGAAAAGTGCTAGTGAATGGAGTATTAGAAAATTTCGAAAATCGTTCAATATTGAAGACATCTTTTTCCTTATTAAAAGTCAGATATGAGGAAAAGAGATTAGGGGTGTCAGTGAAAGATAAGATTATACCTGATATCCTAGTTTTAAAATTAATAGAGAATCCAAAAGCTTTCTGACAAATCTCACGGACATTTGTGTCATCGCTTCGAAAATTTCTCTATTCTGACTTCCGGTTTTCGCTTTTAATAAAACATTAAATAGTGTTACACCTATTGGTAGAACAAAATACAATATATGTAAATACTTAATGTACATTTCAGAGTAAGAATATGTAGACTTATTAGTATTAGTTTCATGGTCTGGTTGATGTTAAGTAGTGAATGTTAACTTTCTTTATGTCATTACAGTTTATTTTCTTATACTTCCTGTAATTGTTGATATCTAATTTTGAAGCTTATGTTTTAGATATATAATACACTCAATACAATTCGTATTTAGAACAAATAATGTTTCATGGGACACATGTAATCTAACTTTAACCACAAAACATTTCAGTATACGATGGCTAGATTACCTTACAGACGAGTTAATGTTAGATTACATTACAGACGAGTTAATGTACTTTAACCACAAAACATTTCATGTATACGATGGCTAGATTACCTTACAGACGAGTTAATGTACTTTAACCACAAAGCATTTTACGTATACGATGGCACTTTAACCACAAAACATTTCAGTATACGATGGCGCATTAAGTCATCACTAATATAATCCAGCCATCGTATACACGGGACGTGTAGTGTTTAAATTACACTAAGTCATATGCAACGTAATATAGCTATTGTATACATGAGACGTCTCGTGGTTAAAGCGCATTAAGTCATATGTTAATATTTTTCTTTTCTACGGTGGGTTTTGGTTCCAAATCCAGTATCATCTCATTTGCTATTTTAAACCTAAATGAAGCATTATGCAACATATGAGCTAAACGGTCAGGAAGAAAATCCCAAGGCTTAGGCATAACCATCCATAATTTTAAGCTGTTAACCATAGGGGGGTTAATAGTTAAGCATCAACCGTCGCCTACACGCTACTACTGACTGAATAGTGAAAATGCCTGTCACAACCACTTGTATTCCCCAGCTGAAAGTGCGGAGCGTCTTGTCTAAGGCTAGAATCTTGAATCTTTCGACACACTAATCCTTTAGCCATGCATGGACTGGGATATTTAGTGAATTGATCTTTTGTCAGTTGTAACGAATTTATTTATTAAATATTTATTTTAATATCGACGTTTATTTAGATTAAGTTTATATTTAAAAAAATGCATAGCTTATAGTGATAGATATGTATTGCGAAACTCCCGCCTATTCCCCAAAATTGTGGAAGTTTCTCGAGACTAAGAATCAGCAATATATATATTGTTACGACAGCGGAAGTCACGTGACGCTGGAAGCGTGCGCGCTGGAGTTTCTAGAAGGATCATGACTGTTCCTGGCAACTCTAGTCTTTTTAAGGCGCCTTCTATTTTAGTACATAAGCCCAGCAAATAAAGCGGAGATAACAATTGCAGATAGACGGAGATAGAGACAGATTATTGGGTCAAGTGAGCGGTAGTGACCGTAAGTAAAGTGCGTGAATCGTTGTGAATTATAGCGTGTGTTTAAGTTAAAGTTACTGTGGAAATTCTGTGTATTATAAAGTTGTATCGAGAAATAATTTTCTCGGAAAGAATTTTTACGGGAAATTATCAAACGAGCAGATATGTAACAATATGTACGCAAATGCCTAAATGTAGCTCAGTGTTGTTATGTAAATCTGAATT